AGGAGGAAAAGGAGGAAGGGTGGAGGAGGGAAAAGGAGGAAGGGGAGAGAGAAGGGGAGGAGGGAAAGGAGGAAGGGAGAGAGGAGGAAAAGGAGGAAGGGTAGAGGGGAGGAAAAGGAGGAGGGGAGGGAAGGAAAGGAAGAGAGGAGCAAAGGAAGGAGGACGGAAGAAAGGGAGGAGGAGAAGGAAAGGAAGAGAGGAGCAGAGGAAGGAGGACGGAAGAAAGGGAGAGGAAGAGAAGGAAAGGAAGAGAGGAGCAGGGAAGGAAGAATGGGAGAGGAGGAGGAAAGGCAGAAGTGGAAGAACAGGAGAAGAAATAAACTAGTAGGGGGGAAGTGGGAAGAAGAAAAGGAAAAAAAAGAAAGAAAAAAAAATAACCGAATTTATAACCGTTTTATAACCGCCATCTTTTCTTTTTTTCAAATTCTTCTCGTGCTGTCATTTCCGTTTGTTTCTCCCCTTCCAGATATGGGTCATTATGGCTTATTTTCAAAAGGGAAACAAGGATAAGCAGTAAATAATTGAAGCCAATATATACTAAAGAAAGAGAGAAAGAAAGAGAGAGAGAGAGAGAAAGAGAGAGAGAGAGAGAGAGAGAGAGAGGAGAGAAGAGAGAGAGAGAGAGAGAGAGAGAGAGAGAGAGAGAGAGAGAGAGAGAAAGAGAAAGAGAGAAAGAGAAGAGAGAAAAGAAGAGAGAAAGAACTAAACAGACAGAAAGAGAAAGAAAGAAATAAAGAGGAAGAAATAAACAAAGAAACAGATAAAAAACAGAGAGAAGGGGGCGTGTACGAGACAACACCCGCCCTCAAACTTCAACTTGAACCCAGATAGGCAGACAACAGTCCCGTACCAAGGACTACCTCTTCTTCTTTCTCCTTAATCTAATCTTTCAACAGCAGCTTGCTTAGTCGGCGAAATAAAAGAGGAAGGAAAGAGAGATAAGGAGATAAGGAGATCTAAGAAAGATGAAAAAAAAGTGAAGACCAAATAAACACGACAATTGACACGTGATTATGAATTTACAAAAAAAAAAAAAAAAGGATTGGTTCTTTCGATGAGGAAGAGGGAGAGAAAGAGATAGATAGATAAAGAGAAAGAGAGAATAATAGCAGCTAGTTCGACATAAACCGTTCTTCCTTTTGTATTCGAAAAGCTTATAGAAGAAAGTCGTTATAAGCCACACTATAATAAGGTTTCTCGCTCTTTCTCTTTCTCTTTCTCTCTCTCTCTTCCTCTTTCGAATAAGCCATCTTTAAAGGAGTTATAAGAACGAAGGCATATCTGAGTGGGAAGAGTAGACGAAGGGGAAGGATAGAGGAGAGAAAATGAAGGGAGGAGAGAGGGAGATAAAGATAGAGACGGAGGATAATAATAATAATAATAATAATAATAATAATAATAATAATAATAATAATAATAATAATAATAACAGCAATAAAAGTTTAAATAATAACAATAAAATAATAATAAAGAGAAAAAACAATAATATTGTCTCAAGAGGGAGGGTCTAACGCCAAGCGAGTCTGGTAACACTGCGCTTCCCGCCGTTAGTTCGCGCCGCCGCCAATAGATGGCGGGAGCGGCCAGTCTTGCGGTCATACTTTAATATTATATCATATCTCTCTGCCTCACTCATGTTGATCGGCAGACTACCCCTAAAACCTTGTATATATATTTTTTTTTTCGCCCCAAAAAGAGAATGGATAGTGGTATATGTGTATTTGGTGTAATGGAGATAAATCTTCGATATCCTGTATTTCTCGGCCTATTGGAGGAGGAATTATTACATTTACCGAGTAAAAAAAAGCAAGAGGCCACTTTATCCATATTCTTGGGGCGAAAAAAAAAGAAGAAATGGGATAATAATGTTATTTACGAGGAGGAGAGAGGAGGAAAGGGAAGGCTAACAAGGGACTGAGACTCACCCGTGTCTGAGGGCGTGAGGATCCCCGGCATCGTGTGGTTCTCAGGGGCGGGGACTCTGCCGCAGTAGTTGTGTTCGTTGTGCTCGATGCTGCTGGAGGAGGAGGAGGCGGAGGGGAGGTGCGGTAGGAGGCCTTGGTGTTGTAGCGGGAGGCGCTGTTGGTGCTCCTGGGGCTGCCGGAGGGACTCGACGACTCGCTCATGGACTCGTCGATGTCGCAGTCGCTGTCGGTGCCGGAGGGCGTGTCGGGCAGGTTGTCCTCGGAGTCCTCCTCGTCGTCCTCGGAGATCTCGTCCGGGCGGAGGGCGTCCCTGAGGGCGGCGTCGGCCGAGCACTCGGACACCTGGCGGTCCTTCCTCGGGGGCATCTCCAGCAGCGAGGTGCAGCAGCCGCCGCCGCCCCACATGATGTCTCGCTTGACGGACTCCTCGGGCACGGGCGCCAGGGGCGGCGTCCACCACGACGGGCAGCCGGCCGACCAGTCCATGCTGGTCTCGGCCCCCAGAGGCGCCGTCTCCATGCCCTCCAGGTCGGACAGGATGTCGCTGATGTCTGAGGGCGGCGTGGCCGAAGGGGACTCCAGGATCTCGGGGATGGAGGCCACGAGGTCGTCCAGGTCGTGCTCTGTGGGGGGCGAGTGCGGGGGCGTGGGCAGCGTGGCCAGGTCCTGGTGGAAGGCGGCGCTGGCGGAGGCCGTGGAGGTGAAGCCCATGACGGGGGAGAAGCCGCCCATGCTGTGGTGCTCCATCATGGCCTCGGGGTTGGCGAGGGCGAGGGCGCGGTCGTGCTCGATGTCGAACTTGCTCCAGATGTCTTCTGGCAGGGCGTGGTGGGGCAGGGGCGTCGGGGAGAGCCAGGACTCCGAGAGGAGGTCGGGGGAGGTCGCCATCAATGCCATGGCGGCAGGATCTGTCAGGGGAGGAGAGCAGACCAGGCGTAAATAGGCGGGCAAGCAGTCGAGACGTCTGACACAGCGAGCAGCCTAACACCCCTCATAAAAAAAACAACAACATACATACACATATACCTACTTAAATCCATCAAAACCATTTTCGCCTAATCAAAAAATGTTAAAAAAAATGAAATAAATGGGGGATAAAATTCAAATGATAGCTCAAGAATCCTCCACCCCACACCACCCCTTTCCCTCCCTCCTCCCCCCCAAATCCCTACATCCTTCGCAGCGGAGCCTGATAGTGAGTGACGTATCCACTCACTCATTCATTCACTCTCCCGCCACTGAGGGCACCCCCACCCCCCT